TTGTAGTTAGCTACTGATGGTGATGTTGTAGTTAGCTACTGATGTTGGTGTAGTAGTTAGCTAGTGGTGGTGATGTTGTAGTTAGCTAGTGGTGGTGATGTTGTAGTTAGCTAGTGGTGGTGATGTTGTAGTTAGCTAGTGGTGGTGATGTTGTAGTTAGCTAGTGGTGGTGATGTTGTAGTTAGCTAGTGGTGGTGATGTTGTAGTTAGCTAGTGGTGGTGATGTTGTAGTTAGCTAGTGGGGGTGATGTTGTAGTTAGCTAGTGGTGGTGATGTTGTAATTAGCTAGTGGTGGTGATGTTGTAGTTAGCTAGTTGTGGTGATGTTGTAGTTAGCTAGTGGTGGTGATGTTGTAGTTAGCTAGTGGTGGTGATGTTGTAGTTAGCTAGTGGTGGTGTTGTAACGTTAGATACTGATGGTGATGTTGTAGTTAGCTAGTGGTGGTGATGTTGTAGTTAGCTAGTGGTGGTGATGTTGTAGTTAGCTAGTAGTAGTGATGTTGTAGTTAGCTAGTGGTGGTGATGTTGTAGTTAGCTAGTGGTGGTGTTGTAACGTTAGATACTGATGGTGATGTTGTAGTTAGCTAGTGGTGGTGATGTTGTAGTTAGCTAGTGGTGGTGATATGTAGTAAGCTAGTGGTGGTGATGTTGTAGTTAGCTAGTGGTGGTGATGTTGTAGTTAGCTAGTGGTGGTGATGTTGTAGTTAGCTAGTGGTGGTGATGTTGTAGTTAGCTAGTGGTGGTGATGTTGTAGTTAGCTAGTGGTGGTGATGTTGTAGTTAGCTAGTGGTGGTGATGTTGTAGTTAGCTAGTGGTGGTGATGTTGTAGTTAGCTAGTGGTGGTGTTGTAACGTTAGCTAGTGGTGGTGATGTTGTAGTTAGGTAGTGGTGGTGATGTTGTAGTTAGCTAGTGGTGGTGATGTTGTAGTTAGCTAGTGGTGGTGATGTTGTAGTTAGCTACTGATGGTGATGTTGTAGTTAGCTAGTGGTGATGATGTTGTAGTTAGCTAGTGGTGGTGATGTTGTAGTTAGCTAGTGGTGGTGATGTAGTTAGCTACTGATGGCGATGTAGTAGTTAGCTAGTGATGGTGATGTTGTAGTTAGCTAATGGTGGTGATGTTGTAGTTAGCTACTGATGTTGGTGTTGTAGTTAGCTAGTGGTGGTGATGTTGTAGTTAGTCACTGATGGTGATGTTGTAGTTAGCTACTGATGGTGGTGTTGTAGTTAGCTAGTGGTGGTGATGTTGTAGTTAGCTAGTGGCGGTGATGTTGTAGTTAGCTACTTATTGTGATGTTGTAGTTAGCTACTGAAGGTGATGTTGTAGTTAGCTAGTGGTGGTGATGTTGTAGTTAGCTACTGATGGTGATGTTGTAGTTAGCTACTGATGGTGATGTAGTAGTTAGCTAGTGATGGTGATGTTGTAGTTAGCTAGTGGTGGTGATGTTGTAGTTAGCTACTGATGTTGGTGTTGTAGTTAGCTAGTGGTGGTGATGTTGTAGTTAGCTACTGATGGTGATGTTGTAGTTAGCTACTGATGGTGGTGTTGTAGTTAGCTAGTGGTGGTGATGTTGTAGTTAGCTAGTGGCGGTGATGTTGTAGTTAGCTACTTATTGTGATGTTGTAGTTAGCTACTGAAGGTGATGTTGTAGTTAGCTAGTGGTGGTGATGTTGTAGTTAGCTACTGATGGTGATGTTGTAGTTAGCTACTGATGGTGATGTAGTAGTTAGCTAGTGATGGTGATGTTGTAGTTAGCTAGTGGTGGTGATGTTGTAGTTAGCTACTGATGTTGGTGTTGTAGTTAGCTAGTGGTGGTGATGTTGTAGTTAGCTACTGATGGTGATGTTGTAGTTAGCTACTGATGGTGGTGTTGTAGTTAGCTAGTGGTGGTGATGTTGTAGTTAGCTAGTGGCGGTGATGTTGTAGTTAGCTACTTATTGTGATGTTGTAGTTAGCTACTGAAGGTGATGTTGTAGTTAGCTACTGATGGTGATGTTGTAGTTAGCTACTGATGTTGGTGTAGTAGTTAGCTAGTGGTGGTGATGTTGTAGTTAGCTAGTGGTGGTGATGTTGTAGTTAGCTAGTGGTGGTGATGTTGTAGTTAGCTAGTGGTGGTGATGTTGTAGTTAGCTAGTGGTGGTGATGTTGTAGTTAGCTAGTGGTGGTGATGTTGTAGTTAGCTAGTGGTGGTGATGTTGTAGTTAGCTAGTGGGGGTGATGTTGTAGTTAGCTAGTGGTGGTGATGTTGTAATTAGCTAGTGGTGGTGATGTTGTAGTTAGCTAGTTGTGGTGATGTTGTAGTTAGCTAGTGGTGGTGATGTTGTAGTTAGCTAGTGGTGGTGATGTTGTAGTTAGCTAGTGGTGGTGTTGTAACGTTAGATACTGATGGTGATGTTGTAGTTAGCTAGTGGTGGTGATGTTGTAGTTAGCTAGTGGTGGTGATGTTGTAGTTAGCTAGTAGTAGTGATGTTGTAGTTAGCTAGTGGTGGTGATGTTGTAGTTAGCTAGTGGTGGTGTTGTAACGTTAGATACTGATGGTGATGTTGTAGTTAGCTAGTGGTGGTGATGTTGTAGTTAGCTAGTGGTGGTGATATGTAGTAAGCTAGTGGTGGTGATGTTGTAGTTAGCTAGTGGTGGTGATGTTGTAGTTAGCTAGTGGTGGTGATGTTGTAGTTAGCTAGTGGTGGTGATGTTGTAGTTAGCTAGTGGTGGTGATGTTGTAGTTAGCTAGTGGTGGTGATGTTGTAGTTAGCTAGTGGTGGTGATGTTGTAGTTAGCTAGTGGTGGTGATGTTGTAGTTAGCTAGTGGTGGTGTTGTAACGTTAGCTAGTGGTGGTGATGTTGTAGTTAGGTAGTGGTGGTGATGTTGTAGTTAGCTAGTGGTGGTGATGTTGTAGTTAGCTAGTGGTGGTGATGTTGTAGTTAGCTACTGATGGTGATGTTGTAGTTAGCTAGTGGTGATGATGTTGTAGTTAGCTAGTGGTGGTGATGTTGTAGTTAGCTAGTGGTGGTGATGTAGTTAGCTACTGATGGCGATGTAGTAGTTAGCTAGTGATGGTGATGTTGTAGTTAGCTAATGGTGGTGATGTTGTAGTTAGCTACTGATGTTGGTGTTGTAGTTAGCTAGTGGTGGTGATGTTGTAGTTAGTCACTGATGGTGATGTTGTAGTTAGCTACTGAAGGTGGTGTTGTAGTTAGCTAGTGGTGGTGATGTTGTAGTTAGCTAGTGGCGGTGATGTTGTAGTTAGCTACTTATTGTGATGTTGTAGTTAGCTACTGAAGGTGATGTTGTAGTTAGCTAGTGGTGGTGATGTTGTAGTTAGCTACTGATGGTGATGTTGTAGTTAGCTACTGATGGTGATGTAGTAGTTAGCTAGTGATGGTGATGTTGTAGTTAGCTAGTGGTGGTGATGTTGTAGTTAGCTACTGATGTTGGTGTTGTAGTTAGCTAGTGGTGGTGATGTTGTAGTTAGCTACTGATGGTGATGTTGTAGTTAGCTACTGATGGTGGTGTTGTAGTTAGCTAGTGGTGGTGATGTTGTAGTTAGCTAGTGGCGGTGATGTTGTAGTTAGCTACTTATTGTGATGTTGTAGTTAGCTACTGAAGGTGATGTTGTAGTTAGCTACTGATGGTGATGTTGTAGTTAGCTACTGATGTTGGTGTAGTAGTTAGCTAGTGATGGTGATGTTGTAGTTAGCTACTGAAGGTGATGTTGTAGTTAGCTACTGATGTTGGTGTTTTAGTTAGCTACTGATGTTGGTGTAGTAGTTAGCTAGTGATGGCGATGTTGTAGTTAGCTAGTGGTGGTGATGTTGTAGTTACCTAGTGATGGTGATGTTGTAGTTATCAACTGATGGTGATGTTGTAGTCAGCTATTGATAGTGATGTTGTAACGTTAGCTACTGATGAAGGGTTTTGTTAAGATTTATTTTCGAATGTGTTTCGTTTAGACTTTCAACTTGTTCTTGTGATTAAAAAATATATAAGTCTTGTGTAATGGGATATAGGCATATAGCAGCCACATATCGAGTGTGTATTGAACGACCAGAGTCAAGATGTCAAGAGCTTTAGATTCAAATGTTTGTTTTTGTTTTACTCAGTTTTCGAGTTGATTGGAGAAGTTCTTAAGTAAAGTCTCGAGTTAATAGGACATGTTATTAAGTAAAGTCTCGAGTTAATTGGACATGTTATTAAGTAAAGTCTCGAGTTAATTGGACATGTTATTAAGTAAAGTCTCGAGTTAATTGGACATGTTATTAAGTAAAGTCTCGAGTTAATTGGACATGTTATTAAGTAAAGTCTCGAGTTAATTGGACATGTTATTAAGTAAAGTCTCGAGTTAATTGGACATGTTATTAAGTAAAGATTAATTTCCTTCACGTCCCTCAGTGATGCAGTAAAGAGATTGTCGCTAGGTGCAGACAAATATAAATAGCTTTCGTGTATCCTAGTGAGGACATACACACACACATGCACACACACACACATACACACACAAACTTGTAACAGTTCTATCAACAGCTAGAATCTAAGGGTTTGTCATGTGGTCTTGTTTGTGTTCTAATCGGATATCAGATCTAGTCATTTTTTTTTTAGCTTTTCTCTCTCTCTCTACTTGATATTTGTTATAATCTAAGGGTGGGGCATTATTGAAATCAATAAGGGGAGGGGGTAGTGTGTACAGAATGATTTCTTGAAACTACAGCTAGACTAAAAAAGGATTTTATTGGTACTTAGTTCAATTTGATGATACGTGGATACTAACACAGACTATTGGCCACACCCACACAGGCATGCGTACACATACACATACACACTCATATATACACACACACGCAACATGACACACTTCCAAGATATACACAAGAACACCCACAAGTACTAGAGCCACACCAACAAACACAAAGCCACGCCCTCAAGAACAAGAGCCACACCTAAAATTACTATAACCACACCCACAAGCACTGAAGCCACACCCACAAGCACTGAAGCCACACCCACCTTCGATACCAAAGAAGTAGGAGAACGTGTTGATGGTGACGTTGAGCTGTAGGCTTGAGCCCCACCAGACGGTCAGCGTGCAGGCGCCCAGCTCATACGTGGCGAACACGGGGTCACAGCTGACCGTCGTCTCCCCGGGTGGGGCGTCCACCCTGACGGTCGTCACGGCCACCTCGTCCTGGGGGAAAAACAAATGGTGTCGCGGGTGAAGGTCAACATATGGTGTCATGTGTGAAGGTCACTAATTGTGCAACTTTTTCTTTATTTCTTTTCGAAGAAAATAGGTCAAACTTTTTATTTTATTTTAAACCTGGGCATTGTGGGTAACTTTCCTGTTACAGTTCCAGTTTAGAGTTTCTAGCAGACATTTTGTTATTGGGGTGGGGTGGTGGGTTACTTGAACCTTGCTGGGAAGGGGGACAACGATAACATTTCAAATTTTGCTTTCATTTTCTATTTTTATTTATTTTGTCCTAGGGTGAAATGCTCCGGGATCAGGCCCCGCCCCCACCCCAGCCCCGCCCCCACCCCCAGCCCCGCCCCCACCCCCAGCCCCACACCCTCCGTAGAGATGCCTGAACTGCCCCAGTCTCAACTCATCCGACTACCTGTGTTACAAAAACGACACTCAGCTATGTGATCTTGACACTACAGTGTGTCAGGCCCAGCATCATCCCACGTGTTGCAGGCGGGCGTCACGTGACCCGAAACCAGACAATAGCCTGGTACTTGCCCGGCCACGTGATGACACGGTTAACCTATTAACAACGTTCCAGCTCAGTGCCCCCAACAAAAGACCGTCAATTACTCCCGTTATAGATTTATAGATTCAATTGTTTTCTCAATTCTTCAATCCAACTTTTTAATCACCCGAATACATTTTATACTTGATCACATCATCACACTACTACAACGTGTGTAACATCTAAAACCAATTGACGGACAAGCTGTTTAAAAACTTGTGGAAAAAAAAACACTAGATCTCGATCTATATTACTTGGAGAAAAGTAGAATTCCTCGAGGTAAAGTAATAAATTAAGGTTGATTGTGTGTGCTGTGATTGATTGTATTCTGGCGTGATGGATGTGATGATAAACAATGGCGTGGCTCTCACCTTGAAGGTGCGGTTGATGTTGTTGGCGTACACCATGATGGAGTACTCCCCCGGCACGTAGTACGCCATAGACAGCATGTTGGTGGCGTTGGGCGTGGCCTGCCCAGCCCCGTCGTCGTAATCCATTCTGTAGACGACCTCGTTACCACTGGCGATGCTTACATTAATGGTCACTGGGTCAGCTACCCTGTTACATACAATCTTTGATTACATCAATGGCCACTGTTACATACAATCTTTGATTACATCAATGGCCACTGTTACACACAATCTTTGATTACATCATAAATTGATGTGTTGCGATGATTTTTTTTAAATAGTGGGAAGGGAGGGGGGGGGGCTAACTTATAAATGATATGAGGCGGGGGGTGGGGTCACTCACTTGATGATGGTGGGGTGGGGTGGTGGGGTGGGGGGTCACTCACTTGATGATGGTTGGGGGTGGGGGGGGGTGTTCACTCACTTGATGATGGTGGGGTGGGGGTTGTCACTCACTTGATGATGGTTGGGTGGGGGGGTCACTCACTTGATGATGGTGGGGTGGGGGTGGTCACTCACTTGATGATGGTGGGGTGGTCACTCACTTGATGATGGTGGTGGGGGTGGTCACTCACTTAATGATGGTGGGGTGGGGGGGTCACACACTTGATGATGATGGTGGGGTGGGGGGGGTGGTCACTCACTTGATGATGGTGATGGGGGGGGGTGGTCACTCACTTGATGATGGTGATGGGGTGGGGTGGTCACTCACTTGATGATGGTGATGGGGGTGGGGGGTCACTCACTTGATGATGGTGATGGGGGTGGGGGGTCACTCAATGGTTTGGGAGTGGGGGTGGTCACCCACTTGATGATGGTGGTGGGGTGTGGTCACTCACTTGATGGTGGTGGGGTGGGGTGTGGTCACCCACTTGATGTTGGTGGGGTGGGGGGTCACTCACTTGATGATGGTGTTCTCCACACTGGTGCTGATGGTGAGTCCCGAGATTTTCTTGCTGGCCGTGTAGACGCTGACGTGTTTGACGCCACCACACCGCTGGTTCTTGTCCCCGATACACGGCATGTCGCAGTACGTGTCGTTGACGGGGGCGGCGGCAGGCAGGGTGCTGGCACAGTAGCAGAACTTGCCTGCAAGGGTCAGACAGTGTGTACAGCGTGTATAGAGTTGGTGTGTACATGTATATATATATATATATATATATATATATATATATATATATATATATATATATGTAAGTATAGACATCTAAGACTCAGCTCTCATACCTGAAGTGACGGCCGCGTACATGTACTTGAAGGTCCCACAGTTGGCCATGCATGACAGTGTTGTCGTCACTTCCGGGCTGTAGTCACCTGGGCTGACAGAAAAATGGCGGCGGCGGACCGACTCCAGGTAACATCCTTGGTAGGCCGCTGGGGAGATCATGGGGAGGTAAAGATGGGGAGATATCATGGGGAGGTAAAGATGGGGAGATATGAGGTCATGGGGAGGTAAAGATGGGGAGATGTCATGGGGAGGTAAAGATGGGGAGATATGACATCATATGGAGGTAGTTGTAATTGTATAATAACCATGGAGCTGTATTGCACGACATAAGTATATCACCAGTATTAAAGAGTTCTGTTTCACCTACGGTTCCTTCCGCCGCAAGTCAGCTCTAAAATTGTCCTGTTCTGTCGACCAATTTCTCACAGTGAGCCATGGACAAAGTAGTTAAGGCAGAAATCTGGCTAAAGCCGTTCACTCGATCTTGGCAAGGGGGGGGGGGGCAATCAATTGGTGCGCATAACTTGTCCACGCCTTCCGATAAACCGTATTGGATTTCGATCTTAACTGCGATCTTAACGCGGGAGCTAGCAATTAAATCCAGTCGTTGGTTCAATGCCCTTAAGCCTGACTCATGTTCCCTACCTCATGTTCCCTACCTGAACGAGACTACCACCATGTTCCCTGCCTACCCTTGTTCCCCATGTCACCACCCCATAATGTTATACCACCTGACAGGATGTCAGCTTCCTGTGTCTATGTTCCCAGACGCTTTGTTCCCTTTAGCCATGTTCCCAGACTCTTTGTTCCCTTTAGCCATGTTCCCTTTGACTATGTTCCCTTTAGCCAGGTTTGCTGCGGCTAAGTTCCCTGTCTCCGTATAACTCAATAATTACTCCCCCCCCCCCCCCCTTGTCTCATAGATTAACAATCAAAATCGCGTCATTTAGTTTTCTCTCGGTACTAAAGTAAAATCCTGCTCAAAATTTGTGACGTGACAATACAGAGCACAAGGGTGGGGAGAGGGGGGGGGGGCTAGATCAAATCATTCTGATGAGGTCCTTCAGTCTAATGTGGGAGGGTGGGGGAGGGTGGGGGAGTAATCGCACTAGTAAGGTTCTCTTTCAATTAATTTCAAAGAAAAAAAATCGAAGCAGGCTGTGGACGTAAAACAATAAAATATTTTTATGTCGAGTCGATGGCTGAGAGATATGGCTGTTAGCTGAAGCTAAAGCTAGCTTAATTCAACAACTGGCTGTGTTGGTTGGGACGGCATGAATTGGTTCAATCTCTGTGTAGGAATTATTTTTTAACGTCTTTCAGAAAATGAAAATAGTTGATGTGTTGCTGTGTGTGTGTGTGGTCACATTGCTTGAGTTCTACTATTAGACTGCAAATAATTTGCCCAAGACGTAGATTTCTTGTTTCAATAACCTCCTTAGTTTTCTCAACGTGAATCAGGTATCCATTAGGATAGGCTGGACTCGCGACTTTCGGGTTAGCTGTCGTCAGCTCTCCCACCCAACCACGTCGTACCATATACATAATATTTATAACTTATTTTTAAATATATATCTTTATATGTTCACTATAAATATTTAATATTTATAGTAAAAATATACGAATATATATTTAAATATTAATTTTAAAATGGAAGAATTAAAATTGTGCCTATATTTAGAATAAAGCAGAAGTTAAAGGGTGCATTAAAATTTAATATCCGGATGTCCTAGATTCTAGATGAAGGATTAGGGGGGTGGGGGGGCGATAGGTAATAACCTGGTAAACACGTACAGTCGGGGTAGGGGGGGAAGAGAATGTTCTTGCGAACAGTCCGGGTAAGGGGGGGGGGTTCTAGCAAACTGTCGGTACATAGCAGCACCACAAGTTTAACAAATTTCTCGTGTCTGATCCCCACCCCCACCCCCCCCCCCTCCCGACATCCCCCCTCCCGTTCGGCCAAGGTGCTTACATTTCAATATCAGGTGCACACAAGCAACGGGTATTCCCAGAGCAACACCAGCAAGCACCTGACGAGTACGTCAGTCGTCTATCTCACATCCGGTCAACACACGACGTCCTGTCACGTGTGACGTAAGTCAACAGGTTTCCTACGTCCCCCACACAACCCACACAACCCCACACAAGCCCACACAAAAACCTCGCACTAAGAAATCTATGCGACCAATTGCCGATGTATGTTGGAGGAAAGCGCCCGTCTATTGTCCACAGTGAGTACTCATTGTTTGCTCTACTCGCCACTCTCACACTATTTGATTGCCTTTTATATTGCCCTCAGTAATCAAATTGTGATGGCGCAGTCGGTATGCCAGGTAGGCGCTCAGAAAAAAATATCCTGGCCAAATATTGACGCAATTAATCGATTTGGTTAACAGTTGGTTTGTTTTTATTCCTTCCAATGTACGAGAAATGCTTTTAGTTTTTATTTCAATAATTAGTTAGATTTCTGTCCAATATTACAGTTAGATTTATGTCAAATATTACAATTAGATTTATGTCAAATATTACAATTAGATTTCTGTCCAATATTAAAGTTAGATTTATGTCAAATATTACAGATAGATTTTCGTCAAATATAACAGTTTGATTTCTGTCAAATATTACAATTAGATTTATGTCAAATGTTACAATTAGATTTATGTCAAATATTACAATTAGATTTATGTCAAATATTACAATTAGATTTCTGTCCAATATTAAAGTTAGATTTATGTCAAATATTACAGATAGATTTTCGTCAAATATAACAGTTTGATTTCTGTCAAATATTACAATTAGATTTATGTCAAATGTTACAATTAGATTTATGTCCAATATTACAATTAGATTTATGTCCAATGTAACAGTTAGATTTATGTCCAATATTACAGTTAGATTTATGTCAAATAGTGTCGTGTATGTGTCGTGTGGGTAGTGTGTGTGGGTCGTGTGTGTGTCGTGTATGTGTCGAATGTGTCGTGCTGTTCAGTGCTCACGCGAGCAAGTCATCACTCAGTTCACAAAAGCTCGCCCCCCCCCCCCCCCCCAACGAATGTCTGACGTCACCCCTATATTGATGTAGGCCCCTAGGGCTGCTGATAGACCCATTCATGGGTAAGACTTACAATAAAGGCGTCGAGGCTTAGCTTTGATTAAAACATTATTAATTAAATGTGTAAAGACGGGATTATAAACTTTTACTTAATTAATTTTATAATAATGAAGCGGGCTTTAAGTCGGATGCTGAAATACATCATCGGTCAAATATTTTTTGGCTGCTGGGTCTCTGTGCACATATGGTAGACCATTTCAACAATCAACTCAATGCTAGTCTTTGGTTTGGATGTGAGGTGTGGGGGCCGTCCATTTGTTGTGGTGGGGGGGGGGGGAGAGCCGTCCATTTGTTGTGGTGGGGGGGGGAGAGCCGTCCATTTGTTGTGGTGGGGGGGAGAGCCGTCCATTTGTTGTGGTGGGGGGGGAGAGCCGTCCATTTGTTGTGGTGTGGGGCGCCGTCCATTTGTTGTGGTGGGGGAGGGGCCGTCCATTTGTTGTGGTGGGGGGGGAGAGCCGTCCATTTGTTGTGGTGGGGGGGAGAGCCGTCCATTTGTTGTGGTGTGGGGCGCCGTCCATTTGTTGTGGTGGGGGAGGGGCCGTCCATTTGTTGTGGTGGAGGGAGCCGTCTATTTGTTGTGGTGGGGGGGGGGCGCCGTCCATTTGTTGTGGTAAGGGGGGGGGGGCGGGGTAAAACTAAACACTGAAACCTGACCCGAAACACTGAAATTTGTCCCCGATGTAAAGACGAAGTTTCTAGAACAACGCCACTATCGCCGACCAGCAGCCATCGGTTTCTCATTGATTTCCTCTTTTGTTCTGGAACTTTTGAAGTAATTCTCTGAGACCCTGACAACATCCGCCGCTACGTGGGGGCCGTACATCGACGGGATCAAATCCTTCGGGGTCACACGGCTCTCAGTGTTTGATGGGGGTCACAGGGGTCGCAGTACAAGGGTCGCGGTACAGGGGTCGCGGTACAGGGGTCGCAGTACAGGGGTCGCGCCAGTTTGATGGCGGCACAGGGGTCGCGCCAGTCTCCACCACTTTGATGGCGGCACAGGGGTCGCAGTACATGGGTCGCGGCAGTTTGATGGCGACACAGGGGTCGCGCCAGTCACCGCCAGTGTGATGAACGACCGAGATACACCGACGGCACTGTTCAAACTTTTATTAATGGTGTGTTTTGGATGTGTGGTCGATATAAACGTCATGGGAAGGGGGGGGGGGGGATCAGCTCATGATTTGAGATTTCGGGATAATTAAATCAAGTGGTTAAAATTACTGGCACAGTGTACCAGCAAGGAACGAGTTAAACTTGTTAAATTACTGGCACAAAACAACTGATTCATTCAAACATATATCTGACCGTTACTTTAAACAAGACAACTGTTTCATTCAATATTTGCTTTGGACTGTTTAACGTACGGTCAATTTTAACACAACCAGATGTATTTTGATCGTTTATATTCAATTTTTTTGTACTGTTTATAAAACAAATTCAATTTATTTACATTCATGATAATAGTTATTTTATTTACCTTTCTACTAAAAACGTTTTCTTTATTTGCCGATATATTCAGTTTCCCACTTTTTAGAATGTTTTGTTTCGTTAACCATTTAGAAATGTATTTCATCAAATGTTGAATACATGTACCACTTACACTTACGACATAAATGTTAAGGAGCGAGACAAAGCCAATTCATGCATGTAAAGCATATCGATTGCTACTCTCTAAACTCATTAATTAAACTGCTCTCATTATTTGAGAAACTTTCAAACTGGATCGTTTTCTTTATCTCATCTGGAGCTTTGTTTAATAGAATTCTCGATCAAGTGAGCGGGTTTATTTCACTGCCGTGGTAGGTTCTATGCGGACGGACTAATAGCCCTTTAATATTTGATGCTTTGTGTTGTTGCTTTTGTTTCGTGATAGCGTTGATCGAATCTTTGTTTTTTTACGTCGCTGAAATATTGGCAGACGTGTTTCTACTTTAGGGGAATATTTACACAACATACACAAGTCTTACGAAATAGAAAACTTTCTTACGGCATCCTAGATACATTCACCTTATCTTGTGGGATACATGCATGTTATGATGTTTGTCTGTTTTTCTGTCGTTACTGTCTTTTTTCTTGCCAACTATTTTTGTTTTAGCTGTCTTGTTTCTGTCTTTCTTTCTGTCTTAACAGTTCGGGTATTTCTTTCTGTCTTTATTGCATCTGTTTTTTCCATGCTTTATTATTTCTGCATTTTTTTTGCTCTGTTAATTTTTTCTGTCTTTACTTCCTGATGTCTACATGTTTGTCTATTTCTTTCTTTCTTTCTTTTAGTCTTTTTTACTTTCTCGTATACAGGGTATAGATAGAGCAAATATTGTAATCGTGCTGAATAATTAAGACAGTTTTCGCCGTTTGGAGAATCCCTACTTTATCGTATGCGAAATTAAAGATATGGGGTAGAATCGGATGAAAATTGGGAATCGAGAAAAAATCTTGACGTTTTTCACCAATGGGAGTCGGAAAAACTCCCCTTTTGCAATCTTGCCCGTTTGTCTGTCTGTTCGTTCGGTTTAGGTTTACGAAATTTCATATAAAAAGTGTATGAAAAATATTTAGTTTTTTAACAACTTTTGAACAATGTCCGGTAACCGGAAGTGGTACTTACTCCACTTCCGGTTTCTCAAAAACCAATATCTTGAGTACTGGTAACGTTAGGTGGACTGAATTTCATATATAAGTATTACATTGTATGAGCATGTTTTCTGATTCAACTTTTGGATGATTTCCGGTAACCGGGACTGGTGCTTGACTGTAGTTCCGTGTGCAAAAGGCAAACTTGAGTGCCGTTTGATTTAGCTAGGCGAAATTTCATACACAAATATGAGATCTTGGATATAAAACTTGGGGGTAAACAGTGGGGATAATTTAAAGTACAGGCCCTAAAAAATTACTATGATAAATCTTGTGAAAGCAATCTTTAAGTGACCTCTGAAATCCGGAAGTGGTACTTCACTCTATTTCTGGTTTCTAATAATAATCATTAAAAAAGTTTTTAAAAACCCACGTTTTCTGATTGAACTAAAAAGTAGAAAATAAATGTTATACATGACAATAATGCAAGCGATCACTCTACTATAAGCGATGAAAAACGTGGGGCGCCGAAGTAAAAGTTATATTACTATTGATTAGATAATACTATTGACTTTTATTAGGGAGCTTGTAGAGAGTCAACAGTATTAGAAACTGTAAGAAAATCACGGCGCCCCACGTTTTTGATCGCTTATAGTAGAGTGATCGCTTGCATTATTGTCATGTATAACATTTATTTTCTACTTTTTAGTTCAATCAGAAAACGTGGGTTTTTAAAAACTTTTTTAATGATTATTATTTTCTACTTTTTAGTCTTTGTCTGTTTGTTTGCATTAAAATCTCGTAAAAGTTGTATAGCATTAAAGTCTCGTAAAAAGACAACTCGTAAAAAACACGTTGTGTGAATACGTTACTGACTAGAACACATAGATTTGAACCCGTGTCGAGTGGGATAGCAATCGTGTGCCCAACCACTCGACCATATCGTCTCCCCCATACTGGCCACCAGTTGTTACGGTTGTTTGTACACAAACACCGCGTGAACACTACTCAGTAAGCAAAGAGGGAGAGTACCGAACCTTGTTTTCATCAAATTACAGTTACTGGGTTATGTCCCTTTTTCCCCACGTTTTTTGTACAATTATATAGCGGTCTAAAATGATCAATAAAATGTTTCCATGGATCAATTTAGTAATAATAACAATTGAATATTCTATTGTCATCCAAAACAAAGCTTCCCTGAAAATTTCAGCGCGCTAGCTAACTGGGAAGTGCCAGAAATTTCGATCGCAAGATTTGATTGGAAAGACAAACAAACAGAGACGAAAGCAAGTTAAAGAAAACGTGGGAAAATACGAATACTTAAGGAGCTTATATAAGATTTAAGACACAAGATTTTTTATTCTATCAAAGTTTGAGTGATTTCTATTGAATGGAAGTAGATCTAGTACTTTACGCTTTTTCTGATTTCTCAGAATATTGTAAGAATTTGATAATTTTATATCAATTTTAGCGCGCAATAGTTTTTCTAAGTAATTCTTTATTTTAAGTGTGTACAATAGAGTAGAAAATCTCTGTTTTATAATGGGGTATTTTGCTCTATTTCTGATTTCTCAAAAAACATGAAAATTGATAATTTATTATCATATTCCATTAAGATAAATTCTTAGAAATTTTCTCAAAAAATAAACCGGGAGTGATCTCCCCTAAACTTTCTCGAATATTTTTATATAAAATAACAGGGGATGGGAACTCGGGCTATAGACATGATTTTTAATCCATTTTAAATACTTAAAGTTTTAAAAATAGAATAAAATCTCGTAGACAAAAGAATTGCACTCCAAGTGAACGCTAAATAAAAAAGCGCATAATAGTGCGCAATATTATTAGTAGTTTAAAAATTTACATTAGTTTTTTGAGAAATCGGAAGTAGCGTAAATTACTACTTCCGTTCAACGGAAATGACTCAAAATTTAACAGAAGGTAGAGAATTAGATCGTTTACTTACATGTGAAATTTTGTTTATCTATCTGAAATAGTACTCAAGTTATAGGCTTTTGAAAATTTCAAAGTAGGAAAAGTACCACTTCCGGTTATCAGAAATCGCTCAAAAGTTGATACGGATCTACGATTTTGATAAAATACTTATATATGAAATTTCATCAACCTAGCTGTAACGGTACTCAAGTTATCGTGTTTACACACGGACAGACAGACAGACACACAGACAGACACACAGACATACGGACAAGATTGCAAAATTATGTTTTTCCGTATCAGTGAGATGTAAAACGTCGAGATTTGTAAAAATCTCGATTTTTTTTTTTGCACGATTACAATACTTTCTCTATACTTCGTATATACGAGAAAGTAAAAAACAGGCAGTTTGGTCATAAACTTCTTTATCTCCCCCCCCCCCCCCCCCTTACTGTTATATAAGAATATAGGATACAATTTAGGGAGGGTGATTGCTGCTTTATTTGTCTTTCTTTATGTATTTCTTTATTTATTTCTGTCTTTCTCTTAGTATCTATTTATTTTTGTCTTTCCGAAATATCTGTCTATCTTGCCATCTATCTAAGTATTTATTTGAATGCTTCTGTAGTCCATAAATAATAAATTTTCCATGTATAATTCATTCAACTAACTACAGACTATACAAGATAATTGCATACAGACGACACATGGAAATAGTTGGACTCGTGCAGATGTTGCAAGTAATGTGTGGGTAGGGGTGGGTATGGTGGGGTGGGGTGGGGGTAGGGGTGTGTAATGTGTGGTTGGGGTGGGGTGGGGTGGAGATAGGAACATATAATGTCCCATATTTCTCTACACTTCAATCGACACAAAAAACAACAGCTGTACTCACCTAGCGTCAGCCCAACAACAGAAACCTGTGGATCAACACAAACAAATCGGTGAGGGATTTTGTTAGAGCTGTGGTGATATGACATGTGATGAGCACATGTAGGTTAGAGTTCAAATGTGACAAGTAGGGTTAGAGTTCAAATGTGAGATGTAGGGTTAGAGTTCAAATGTGACATGTAGGGTTAGAGTTCAAATGTGACATGTAGGGTTAGAGTTCAAATGTGACATGTAGGGTTAGAGTTCAAATGTGACATGTAAGGTTAGAGTTCAAATGTGACATGTAGGGTTAGAGTTCAAATGTGACATGTAAGGTTAGAGTTCAAATGTGACATGTAAGGTTAGAGTTCAAATGTGAGATGTAGGGTTAGAGTTCACATATGACATGTAGGGTTAGAGTTCAAATGTGACATGTAGGGTTAGAGTTCAAATGTGACATGTAGGGTTAGAGTTCAAATGTGACATGTAGGGTTAGAGTTCAAATGTGACATGTAAGGTTAGAGTTCAAATGTGAGATGTAGGGTTAGAGTTCACATATGACATGTAGAGTTAGAGTTCAAATGTGACATGTAGGGTTAGAGTTCAAATGTGACATGTAAGGTTAGAGTTCAAATGTGACATGTAAGGTTAGAGTTCAAATGTGAGATGTAGGGTTAGAGTTCAAATGTGACATGTAGGGTTAGAGTTCAAATGTGACATGTAAGGTTAGAGTTCAAATGTGACATGTAAGGTTAGAGTTCAAATGTGACATGTAAGGTTAGAGTTCAAATGTGACATGTAGGGTTAGAGTTCAAATGTGACATGTAGGGTTAGAGTTCAAATGTGACATGTAGGGTTAGAGTTCAAATGTGACATGTAGGGTTAGAGTTCAAATGTGACATGTAAGGTTAGAGTTCAAATATGACATGTAGGGTTAGAGTTCAAATGTGACATGTAGGGTTAGAGTTCAAATGTGAGATGTAGGGTTAGAGTTCAAATGTGACATGTAAGGTTAGAGTTCAAATGTGAGATGTAGGGTTAGAGTTCAAATGTGACATGTAGGGTTAGAGTTCAAATGTGACATGTAGGGTTAGAGTTCACATATGACATGTAGGGTTAGAGTTCAAATGTGACATGTAAGGTTAGAGTTCAAATGTGACATGTAGGGTTAGAGTTCAAATGTGACATGTAGGGTTAGAGTTCAAATGTGACATGTAGGGTTAGAGTTCAAATGTGACATGTAGGGTTAGAGTTCAAATGTGACATGTAAGGTTAGAGTTCAAATGTGACATGTAAGGTTAGAGTTCAAATGTGACATGTAAGGTTAGAGTTCAAATGTGAGATGTAGGGTTAGAGTTCACATATGACATGTAGGGTTAGAGTTCAAATGTGACATGTAGGGTTAGAGTTCAAATGTGACATGTAAGGTTAGAGTTCAAATGTGAGATGTAGGGTTAGAGTTCAAATGTGAGATGTAGGGTTAGAGTTCAAATGTGACATGTAGGGTTAGAGTTCACATATGACATGTAGGGTTAGAGTTCAAATGTGACATGTAGGGTTAGAGTTCAAATGTGACATGTAAGGTTAGAGTTCAAATGTGACATGTAAGGTTAGAGTTCAAATGTGAGATGTAGGGTTAGAGTTCACATATGACATGTAGGGTTAGAGTTCAAATGTGACATGTAGGGTTAGAGTTCAAATGTGACATGTAAGGTTAGAGTTCAAATGTGACATGTAGGGTTAGAGTTCAAATGTGACATGTAGGGTTAGAGTTCAAATGTGACATGTAGGGTTAGAGTTCAAATGTGACATGTAGGGTTAGAGTTCAAATGTGAGATGTAGGGTTAGAGTTCAAATGTGACATGTAGGGTTAGAGTTCAAATGTGACATGTAGGGTTAGAGTTCACATATGACATGTAGGGTTAGAGTTCAAATGTGACATGTAGGGTTAGAGTTCAAATGTGACATGTAAGGTTAGAGTTCAAATGTGACATGTAGGGTTAGAGTTCAAATGTGACATGTAGGGTTAGAGTTCAAATGTGAGATGTAGGGTTAGAGTTCAAATGTGAGATGTAGGGTTAGAGTTCAAATGTGAGATGTAGGGTTAGAGTTCAAATGTGAGATGTAGGGTTAGAGTTCAAATGTGAGATGTAGGGTTTGAGTTCAAATGTGACATGTAGGGTTAGAGTTCAAATGTGACATGTAAGGTTAGAGTTCAAATGTGACATGTAAGGTTAGAGTTCAAATGTGACATGTAAGGTTAGAGTTCAAATGTGACATGTAAGGTTAGAGTTCAAATGTGACATGTAGGGTTAGAGTTCAAATGTGACATGTAGGGTTAGAGTTCAAATGTGACATGTAGGGTTAGAGTTCAAATGTGACATGTAGGGTTAGAGTTCAAATGTGACATGTAAGGTTAGAGTTCAAATGTGACATGTAGGGTTAGAGTTCAAATGTGACATGTAAGGTTAGAGTTCAAATGTGACATGTAAGGTTAGAGTTCAAATGTGAGATGTAGGGTTAGAGTTCAAATGTGACATGTAAGGTTAGAGTTCAAATGTGACATGTAGGGTTAGAGTTCAAATGTGACATGTAAGGTTAGAGTTCAAATATGACTATTAGGGTTAGAGTTCAAATGTGACATGTAGGGTTAGAGTTCAAATGTGACATGTAGGGTTAGAGTTCAAATGTGACATGTAGGGTTAGAGTTCAAATGTGACATGTAGGGTTAGAGTTCAAATGTGACATGTAGGGTTAGAGTTCAAATGTGACATGTAGGGTTAGAGTTCAAATGTGACATGTAGGGTTAGAGTTCAAATGTGAGATGTAAGGTTAGAGTTCAAATATGACATGTAGGGTTAGAGTTCAAATGTGACATGTAGGGTTAGAGTTCAAATGTGACATGTAGGGTTAGAGTTCAAATGTGACATGTAGGGTTAGAGTTCAAATGTGAGATGTAGGGTTAGAGTTCAAATGTGACATGTAGGGTTAGAGTTCAAATGTGACATGTAGGGTTAGAGTTCAAATGTGAGATGTAGGGTTAGAGTTCAAATGTGACATGTAGGGTTAGAGTTCAAATGTGACATGTAGGGTTAGAGTTCAAATGTGACATGTAGGGTTAGAGTTCAAATGTGACATGTAGGGTTAGAGTTCAAATGTGACATGTAAGGTTAGAGTTCAAATGTGACATGTAGGGTTAGAGTTCAAATGTGACATGTAAGGTTAGAGTTCAAATGTGACATGTAAGGTTAGAGTTCAAATGTGACATGTAGGGTTAGAGTTCAAATGTGACATGTAGGGTTAGAGTTCAAATGTGACATGTAGGGTTAGAGTTCAAATGTGACATGTAAGGTTAGAGTTCAAATGTGAGATGTAGGGTTAGAGTTCAAATGTGACATGTAAGGTTAGAGTTCAAATGTGACATGTAGGGTTAGAGTTCACATATGACATGTAGGGTTAGAGTTCAAATGTGAGATGTAGGGTTAGAGTTCAAATGTGAGATGTAGGGTTAGAGTTCAAATGTGAGATGTAGGGTTAGAGTTCAAATGTGACATGTAGGGTTAGAGTTCAAATGTGACATGTAAGGTTAGAGTTCAAATGTGAGATGTAGGGTTAGAGTTCAAATGTGAGATGTAGGGTTAGAGTTCAAATGTGACATGTAAGGTTAGAGTTCAAATGTGACATGTAAGGTTAGAGTTCACATATGACATGTAGGGTTAGAGTTCAAATGTGACATGTAGGGTTAGAGTTCAAATGTGACATGTAAGGTTAGAGTTCAAATGTGACATGTAGGGTTAGAGTTCAAATGTGACATGTAAGGTTAGAGTTCAAATGTGACATGTAGGGTTAGAGTTCAAATGTGACATGTAAGGTTAGAGTTCAAATGTGACATCTAGGGTTAGAGTTCAAATGTGACATGTAGGGTTAGAGTTCAAATGTGACATGTAGGGTTAGAGTTCAAATGTGACATGTAAGGTTAGAGTTCAAATGTGAGATGTAGGGTTAGAGTTCAAATGTGACATGTAAGGTTAGAGTTCAAATGTGACATGTAGGGTTAGAGTTCACATATGACATGTAGGGTTAGAGTTCAAATGTGAGATGTAGGGTTAGAGTTCAAATGTGAGATGTAGGGTTAGAGTTCAAATGTGACATGTAGGGTTAGAGTTCAAATGTGACAAGTAGGGTTAGAGTTCAAATGTGAGAAGTAGGGTTAGAGTTCAAATATGACATAGAAGGTTAACGTCAAAATGTGACATTTTACGTTAGATTTCAAACGCGACAAAGACAATTAGAGTAGAAATATGATGTTTAAGGCTAGAGTACTAGCGTTAGTTTGACATTAAATGTCGATGGTCACTGTTAAACCTACCCCAACCTACCAACCAAACCTATCCAGAAATCCTGCTCTATCAGCGGTTTCTTCCTTCTTAATTGTATTATTGAGGGGATTTTCTTAACAGAGATATTGAAGATTTCCTCTAACACAATTAAATATTACATGTCAACGTGTTATGGGCCATTTAGGCCATTGACTCTGATTACAGCCTGCTTTACTTTCTGGATTTGCTGACATAGCCTTTGTCCACTCAAGAACAAACTACAAGGCAACCAGTGTTTCTTCCAGACTTTTTTTTCGGGGGTGCACTTAAAATTTTCCGGGGGTAGGAGGGCGGACTCAAATTTCCGGGGGGGGGGGGGGGGCGGACACTGTTAAGTGTATATATTTTCTACATAAATTCCTTTTCGTTCGGGCGGTAGACTTTCTTCGGGAGGGGGGGGTCAAAGTCCCCAATCACCAAACGACATTAATTCTATGACATCCCGCAATCACTGAACGATATAAACTATGAGAACCCCTAATCTCTCAAAATATATAAACTCTACCAGATCCACTAATCACTGAACGATATAAACTCTGTGAGATCCCTAACCACCAACACATTGCGTCATTATGTGAGAAGTACTCACACAACCCCCCGCTTCCCCCACCCTCAAAGCTCTCTTGTCCTGATGCCGCGAATGAATATTTAAATTCAGATTGTTCCCCACAAGAAAAACATTTTCTCTGAACTAACCAAACCGTGAATTGATACCAAAGCGACAGTAAAATGCTTGCTTTCAAACGTAAACTGTGTGTACACTGTACAGTAGTCTTCCTATTTCAACGGTTGAGATGGTCGCAAAATGTGTGTACACTGTACAGTAGTCGTCCTATTTCACGGTTGAGATGATCATGCGATAATACGGCGATGTAAGCTTACACTTAGTAGCTGTGTAATTGCTAATTTTAGACGTAAACTGTAAACATTGGGATGCCGAAGTGTATAAAATGTAGCGCTAGGCTTCACCACTGAAAGAATGGACAAGACTTAATGTGAACGGGGATTAGCGGTATGCTGTGACGTCACAAGCTAGGAGCGGGGGGGGGGGGTACGGTCTGCACCAGGTGATATCATTTAGGGGGTGAGACCAGTCAGAGAAATCATACTGTCTAAACAATTTCGTGTCCAGTTAAATCGGTTTAAAATGATAGGAAGGAGCTGGGGGACACCCTCAGTCATCGCACCGTTAGACACCCTCAGTCATCGCACCGTTAGACACCCTTCGTTACCACACCGGGTGACACCAGCCACAGTGACACCATTGGTGGCATGACGTATTAGACACCTACTAGCTGCATACCCGTGCTCCGCCACAGTAAATCTTTTTTAAATGTACCAACTTGGGAACAGAACAAAACTAAACACAAACACAAAACAAAAACACAAACTCAAACACAACACAAACACAAAAGAAAACACAAACATAACACGAAAACAAAAGAAAACACAAACAAAATTCAAACAAACACAATGCAAACACAAACGAAAACACAAACGGAAATACAATTACAACACTCATAACATAAACACAACTTAAATGCAAACATAAACGCATAGTGCTCACAGTCTAGCCCGTGGCGCCGAATCTCACATTGACCGAGCGCCGGCGGACACGCCTGATTCAATTTAGTGGACGACTATAAAACCTTAAGCTTGTCCACAAACCGAAAGATAGAAATAATAATTAGTAAACAGTACGTTCAGCGTATAAAATATACAAAAGGCAGTATTTAAAATATCCGTGTTTTACCTACCACATTGCACTATATCAATGCATTCATATAACGTTTTTTGTGAATTATTACTTTCTCGTATATGTTTACAAATCTCGACGTTTTACACCTCCCTGAGTCGGAAAAACATAGTTTTGCAATCTTGTATTCACATTTTGCTAATTATATTATTCCAACAATAATTCCCTTTTGGACATCCGCATATTTTGCATTCACATTTTTATATTAGGGTGAGTTGAATTTATTTTTTTAAATTACCTCCCCTGGCATAACTATTAAAAGATTTTAATTAATTCGATTATTAGATCCTACTGTTATGAAAATGTATCCACTTATTCTAGGAATCAAAACGAAAATTATATTTGACATTGATCCGTTTAAAATGTTTTAGCAATGTGCGTGTATTTAATATTTTCTTCACGTTATTTGAAAGTGAAAAAAACTGTGGCAAATATAAAATAAATGTAAGTCGTTATATAAACAAACTCTATTCTTTAATTAAAATAAGATAATGCGATGCACTGTAAAAGCACTGTATGGTCCGATGTTTATTTTTATGGTTCCAAAATCTATAGCGATGACGGAAGGAGCGTTATATTATAGATAATAGAATTCGGTAAGCCTGATTCATATATTGCTATATCAGAAAAGTGGTGCCTTCCATGTTTTGTTTCTTCTGTTTGGAGTGATTGGATTCTTAAATTGACCGATTTTCTGTGGTACATTGTGTAAGATATTTTGTGTAAGATATTTTGTGTAAGATATTTTGTGTAAGATATTTTGTGTAAGATATTTTGTGTAAGATATTTTGTGTAAGATATTTTGTGTAAGATATTTTGTGTAAGATATTTTGTGTAAGATATATTGTGTGAGATTGTTTCATGATTTATTTTGTCCTTGTGTTTTTGCTCTCAGACATTTGTCTGAGATATTTTTCCATAGATAATTTATCCTGGGATTTTAGGATATTGGGTCTGAGATGTTTTTATCCTAGGATATTTCATCCCCATACACATTTTGTCCTGTTACAGGTGAACTGTGATATTTTGTCCAGAGCTATTTTGTCGTGTGACCCAAAAGTTTACACAACGGAGAAACTTTAATGTGTAGGTCTTTCTCTCAAATCATGATTAATATTCCCTATTAAGAAGGTTTTGGTGAATGTGTATACGAAGCTGGTGGGGTTTGGTAACTCCAAACAACTGAAGAATGATTGCTTTAAAATATAAGTCTGCAAAGCAGCTGTCGTGGAAAGCATTTCAATTGGACAAGTAGACATTCGACACGGTCAACTATGGCAGACACATCGTACACAGACACATCGTACATAGACACATTGTACACAGACACAGAGACACATCGTACACAGACACACAGACACATCGTACACAGACACACCGTACACAGACACACAGACACATCGTACACAGACACACAGACACATCGTACACAGATACACAGACACATCGTACACAGACACACAGACACATCGTACACAGACACATCGTACACAGACACACAGACACGTCGTACACAGACACACCGTAGACAGACACATCGTACACAGACACACCGTACACAGACACATCGTACACAGACACACAGACAAATCGTACACAGACACATCGTACACAGACACACAGACAAACCGTACACAGACACACAGACAAATCGTACACAGACACATCTTACACACAGACACATCGTACACAGACACATCGTACACAGATACATCGTACACAGATACACAGACACATCGTACACAGACACACCGTACACAGACACACAGACAAACCGTACACAGACACACAGACACATCGTACACAGACACACAGACACATCGTACACAGACACATCGTTCACAGACACACAGACACACAAACACACCGTACACACACAAAGACAAACAGACACATCGTACACACAGACACATTGTACACAGACACACAGACACATCGCTCACATACTGTGTTGAACGTCGCTCTACCACACTTGAGCAGATATTGTACATTAATGTTATCGATCAGAAAATGAGTGCTTGAATAACTACTGAATGTTTTGAAAACTCAATATCAATTTTAACCTTTCCCATCAAGTGATGTCATTTCCATTGTTTCCTGTCGGCTCTTTCGTTCAAGCCGAGTACAAAACTAAATGTTTTGTCTCCGTTTTCTTTCTCGTTTTTGTCTGAATTATACCAACACTCACGTGTCGTGACGTGTGTCTACAGACACACACATCTAATGTAACAACACAAAAGGTCAAGTGTGCCAGTAATGTTGTAGCGACACGGTTGAATGAATGGAGAGGTACACACGCATACCTCAAGACAGACGCATCGGTAGACTGGCGACATCAACTCATAAGAACACATCAACTCACCAAAATACACGGACTTGACAAAATACATAAACTCTTGAAAAAATTAAGAACTTACAAAAAAAAAACCTCACAAAAACACATCAACGTTCAAAAATACACATCACAAAAACGCAACCCAGAAAAACACATCAACATCGCTTCAAATTTTTTTAAAAACACGCATGGAACTTTGTACATCTGTTTAAAATCCCGCACCCAACATTTCGATTTCACCCTCCCTCACCATGTAAAGGCCGAAATGTTTACAATCAAATGCTCAATACTTTGTTCCCTTTTAAGACTCGGCTTGCTGATATCTGAGAAGTTGGATGGAGTATAAAATGTTTTAGGTATGATACTTACAAGAAAAACAAAAGGCGGAAATAAGTGTCCCATCTTAACGCTGCATCCCAAAACTTTCGTCTTACGAGAAAATCAGAGAAAATCCTGTTGGTATTCCTTTTAAAACTATTCGCAAAGTTGTATGGTTCAACTCTCGGCACAAGTCTGTTGGAACTAGTCCTGGTGTTTCAACTCTCGGCACAAGTCTGTTGGAACTACTCCTGCGGTAACTCCCTCCAATGGTCGCAAAACTTGCCGCCAGTTACCTAGTGCTTCCGGCTTCAGTCCAACACTAGCGAGACTCCGCCCACCTCGCTCTGATTGGTCCTCTGTGACACGTGATCAATGACAACATATCCGTCGTGGTAAAGCGGGGAGGGGGGGGGAGACACTCACGGTTACATATTGGGGATATTACAGCCGATGTAACGGCGATTGATGACGTCATTACTGCCTGACCAGGCGTTAGATGCGACATAACGTCACGCTTCATTAGGCACTCCAGTCGCCAGGCCTCATTGGTTGGGTATTTCTCCTCTAGACTTAGACTACACAATGTGTTTCAAGACTTTTATCGTGTGTCATTCTTTTATGATACACAATGTGATTCCAAGACTTTTATCATTCATCATTCTTTCATGACTCATATCTTGTTAGTACGGTCTTCATAAAGCTGTAATCGGAGGGGGGAAGGGGGGGGGGGGCGAACATATTCATGACAGAGGCACCTTTTCGGAGATAATTTTTTTTTAAAGTTCCGTAAACTTTGCTCCATCCAATGTTATGTCGCTCTGTGTAACTGTGTGATAGACCCTTAGGTGGCTGGTCAGTCTCAGTGGACAGCTGTTGGCTGTGTGATAGACCCTTAAGTGGCTGGTCAGTCTCAGTGGACAGCTGTTGGCTGTGTGATAGACCCTTAAGTGGCTGGTCAGTCTCAGTGGACAGCTGTTGGCTGTGTGATAGACCCCTAGATCGCTGGTCAGTCTCAGTGGACAGCTGTTGGCTGTGTGATAGACCCTTAGGTTAGGTGGCTGGTCAGTCTCAGTGGACAGCTGTTGGCTGTGTGATAGACCCCTAGATCGCTGGTCAGTCTCAGTGGACAGCTGTTGGCTGTGTGATAGACCCTTAGGTTAGGTGGCTGGTCAGTCTCAGTGGACAGCTGTTGGCTGTGTGATAGACCCTTAGGTGGCTGGTCAGTCTCAGTGGACAGCTGTTGGCTGTGTAATAGACCCTTAGGTGGCTGGTCAGTCCATTGGGCGGTATGAGGGTTACTCTCTACGTGTTTTCTCTGTCCGGATAGGAGGCGGGGTAGTGTCAGATAGGAGGCGGGGTTGTGTAAGATAGGAGACGGGGTTGTGTCAGATAGGAGGTGGGGTTGTCAGATAGGAGGCTGGGTTGTGGCAGGAGGCGGGGTTGTGTCAGATAGAAGGCGGGGTTGTGTAAGATAGGAGACGGGGTTGTGTCAGATAGGAGGTGGGGTTGTCAGATAGGAGGCTGGGTTGTGGCAGGAGGCGGGGTTGTGTCAGATAGAAGGCGGGGTTGTGTAAGATAGGAGACGGGGTTGTGTCAGATAGGAGGCGGGGTTGTGTCAGATAGGAGGTGGGGTTGTGTCAGATAGGAGGTGGGGTTGTCAGATAGGAGGCGGGGTTGTGTAAGATAGGAGGTGGGGTTGTGTAAGATAGGAGGTGGGGTTGTCAGATAGGAGGCGGGGTTGTGTAAGATAGGAGGTGGGGTTGTCAGATAGGAGGCTGGGTTGTGTCAGATAGGAGGCTGGGTTGTGGCAGGAGGCGGGGTTGTGTCAGATAGAAGGCGGGGTTGTGCCAAATTATCATGTGTTAGATCAATCATTGGATACACAATCCTATTCTATGATTGTTGCAATGGACCAAAATCTCCTGAACTTAACTTTCAGTAACACACGTGTAGCGTCTTAAATTGAAAACTTTTTAACAAACTACAATTAAGAATGTGTATTACTTGCTGCAGGAGCAGTGGCGTAGCTACCGTAAAGCTAGCGTAAGCACGGCATAGGGGCCCAATGCAAATAGGGGCCCTTTTCCCTTTAATTTCTTTTAAGTTTAACATTGGAATTTGAATATTTGTATTATAAAAATAATTTTAAAAGAAAACGGAAATCCAGTTTCTATTCTACTGTAGAAGTAATCAAAAGTTCCAAATAAGGCCTCCAGACCTTTCTTACTGGGGAGGTGCTGTATAGGACCCATTGGTATTAATAACACTATAGACATTGTTGCATTGTCGGGCAAGCCGTTGATGGAATTAGCCTATCAATAAACTTGAACATTGACTCTTTTGTGAGATTGGCATCCGGCACCAGCAAATTTATACACATCGCTAAAAACTCTCTACCCCACCGCCACAATCCTGCACCCCTACCCTCTCAACTCTCTACCCCACCGCCACAATCCTGCACCCCTACCCTCTCAACTCTCTACCCCACCGCCACAATCCTGCACCCCTACCCTCTCAACTCTCTACCCCACCGCCACAATCCTGCACCCCTACCCTCTCAACTCTCTACCCCACCGCCACAATCCTGCACCCCTACCCTCTCAACTCTCTACCCCACCGCCACAATCCTGCACCCCTACCCTCTCAACTCTCTACCCCACCGCCACAATCCTGCACCCCTACCCTCTCAACTCTCTACCCCACCGCCACAATCCTGCACCCCTACCCTCTCAACTCTCTGCCCTCACCGGAATTCCATCCATCAATCCATGATTGCAATTAAGTCCTTTTTTTGGTTAACAACCGTCGACAGTGTTTTCACAACAAGCTAAGTCAAAAATTTGTCAATGTTTTTCTGCTAGTTTTAACCTTAATCACAATTTGTTTGTTGATCTAATGTATCTCTCATCAATATGCCGCTATATAAGATTTTTATTTGTCTGTTTCCCTGTCCTTTATGCATTAGTACAAAAATGATCCAATCGCCAAGAAACATCTGGAAGTCGTTTAGAATAATTCAGACAAACCTCTACTGACGGTGAAATTTCCTACAACAACCCCACAAACAAGAAGTAGAGCCCCCCCCCCCTCCCTCCCCCTCCTCCTCGAAGAGAAGCCAGAAAGAAACTGACTTCTGTAAGGTTTTCTGCCATTAAATATTTTTGTATTTCTTTCGGAGAGCGTCTCCTTGACAGTAAGGCGGTTCGGTTTGCCACCCAGAGTTGATTGTGTGTCCTGTACAGGGGTCAGGGTTACTGCTTAATTCAACGGTCAAACTGCAGAAGTGCATCAGCCTGCGCCCCGGGCTTCCCCGTGAGCATACGGCGCATACACTTGTTTTATTGAGCGCCATGCCCTAGGGATACGGAGAAAGAAAATTAGGGTGTCCTCCAGCCGTCTCGGCAGTAGTATACGATTAGGCGCCCCGAGTCTCTCCATAATTATGATGGTATGAAACAAGTTGTAGACATGCCCTTTGGGTCAGTAACTTGGCCATCCTAGGTATCGAACATACAGAAGCAGCTAATGGGACTTCAAGAAACATATTAATCACTTTGCAAACTTATAAGAAAGAAAAAAAAATCTAAATAAATCATGAGCAACTTTTTAAAATTTGTATTTGGTTAGTGGCGTCACAAGGCTCGATATCCCCCGGCGCCAGAGGCGTAGCGAGGGGGGGGGGCGGGGGGTGCGGACCGCACCGGGTGACACCATTTAGGGGGGGGTGACACCAAGGCAAAAAATAGCAAAATATATAGAGAAAAACTTGAGGGGGGTGCAAATCGAAAGTTTTAGAAGGGGGTGCAAATCGAAAGCTTGAGGGGGGGTGCAAATCGAAAATTTGAAAGTTTGTCCCCGGGAAGGGTTACTACGCCTCTGGGGGGGTGACACCATTATGTGCCGCACCGGGTAACACCCGACCTCGCTACGCCACTGCCCGGCGCGTTTAGTGAGTGTCACCCCCACCCCGTCCAACAATGCTACTGTGTTAGGCTACTTGAATGTAACAGGCTTACATTTTTTTTTCAGTTTGTTTTTACATAAAAGTGATATAAAATCATACGATACGGGGGTGCTACATAATAATACCCTATAAATATACAATTAGGACGTGTAAAATACACAATTTACAGAATGACGTAGGGGGGCCCAATTATAATTTTTGCATAGGGGCCCAAAAATCCTAGCTACGCCACTGTCCAGGAGACCGAGAAAGCGTTGCTTTACTCCGACCCAGCTTGCTGGAGCTGTTGTTTGAAGCTTGTGTCAAATATTCAAAGGCTTGATGGAATATTCCAGCATCCAGCCGCGAGATGGGGTTTCAATTAGCGAGGCTAACGAGATGGTAATTAAATAATCTGGCGACCGTTTATCGGTTAGGTCCTGCAGTTTGTCGAGTCATAAGTCAGATGACTCTGGTAGTGACGCCAGGGAAACTGATGAAGCGTGACGCGTGACGTTTCACTGATGTTATCATGATGGCACGTGACTCATTATCTCAGAAACAATCACGTTACGGTCAAGGTCACGGTAGGTGATTGAAATTTTGATTGGTTGAGATTGGAGAAGGTGATCACTTTACCATACTGGGTCAAGGTCATTGTGCCTTGGAGAGTGTGATCGTCCTTGTTTGAAGGTTATAGTGTCTTGCTCAGGTGTTTCATGGGTTAGGTCAAAGTGGTATGCTGGGTCAAGGTCATAGCATCCTGCTGGGCTGGTCAAATGATGCTGCTATTTTAAGAAAAGCAAAGTTTGATGTTTAGAGTTTATACGTGAGCTAACAAGACCACCATGCCTTAACTTGACAGTTTTCAATCAATCAACACTTTCAAGTGAGAAGTTTACGAGTTGCTCTTGTGTTCGTTAGACGACCTAAGCCACACGTAAATAGATGATTTACGGCTGTTCGATACTTTTATCACACCTAGACAAAGGGCAGGCTCTTTCTAGGGACACTTGCCGCGTAGGTATAAAGCTCCGTTCACTCATTTGATATAGACGGTCTACTAGACACACTTGCCACTGTCGTTGGCTTGTAATGTAGGATAGTGTCAGAATACAACATTGTGTTTATTGGTTCTGTCAGAATACAACATTGTGTTTGTTCGTTCTGTCAGAATACAACATTGTTTGTTGGTTGTTTTAATAACCCAAACACCGAGTGAACTCTATAGGCCAGCTGTAAGTGAAATAATGTCAGTGGCACCATTTGGTTGTATGGCACAAGATACAGTAACTAATAGTCA